TTAAATTGGGTGATGAAGGTGCATCAGGCTTAGGTTCTGCTTTAGCAAATTGCATTAATCTCTCAAATTTGACACTTAACCTTTGGTAAAAACAGTTTATTTGTTTTGGATTGTGATATTTTTAATTATAAAAACTAATAAAAAACAATAAAGCTCTTTTTTCTTTTACTTTTTATTGTGCTTGCTTTTTTTTGTTCTTTCTTTGTTAATTTACCTCATCATTTTATTTTCAACTTTTGCCTTTATCATTTATTATCTTATTATTTCATATTTTTTCTTCATTTTTTCCTTCTAATTAACTATTTAATGATATATTTTTTCTTCAATATTTAAAAAGGTTTAATTAAATTGGTGATGAAGGTGCATCAGGCTTAGGTTCTGCTTTAGCAAATTGCATTAATATCTCAAATTTGACACTTAACCTCGGGTAAAAACAGTTTATTTGTTTTGGATTGTGATATTTTTAATTATAAAAACTAATAAAAAACAATAAAGCTCTTTTTTCTTTTACTTTTTATTGTGCTTACTTTTTTTTGTTCTTTCTTTGTTAATTTAGCTCATCATTTTATTTTCAACTTTTGCCTTTATTATTTATTAATCTTATTATTTCATATTTTTTCTTCATTTTTTCCTTCTAATTAACTATTTAATGATATATTTTTTCTTCAATATTTAAAAAGGGGAAATTAAATTGGTAATGAAGGTGCATCAGGCTTAGGTTCTGCTTTAGCAAATTGCATTAATCTCTCAAATTTGACACTTTACCTTTAGTAAAAACAGTTTATTTGTTTTGGATTGTGATATTTTTAATTATAAAAACTAATAAAAAACAATAAAGCTCTTTTTTCTTTTACTTTTTATTGTGCTTACTTTTTTTTGTTCTTTCTTTGTTAATTTAGCTCATCATTTTATTTTCAACTTTTGCCTTTATTATTTATTAATCTTATTATTTCATATTTTTTCTTCATTTTTTCCTTCTAATAAACTATTTAATGATATATTTTTTCTTCAATATTTAAAAAGTGACAATAAAATTGATGATGAAGGTGCATCAGGCTTAGGTTCTGCTTTAGCAAATTGCATTAATCTCTCAAATTTGACACTTTAACTCGGGTAAAAACAGTCTATTTGTTTTGGATTGTGATATTTTAAACTATAAAAATGAATATAAAGCAAAAAAGCTCTTTGAATATATTTGATAGCTTTATTTATTTTATTTTTTATCTTTTTTATTCCACTAAAATTATTTTATGTATTAATTTAAAGAATAATTTTTAATTTAAAAGTTTATTCTATTTTGATATTTATTTTAAAATTAACACAAATTTATTATAAAATGTTTAGCTCATAACTACTCAAGTTAAAATGCAAAAAGTGTCTTAAATCAAAAAGATTAGTTGTCTTTGATTTAAGATGATAAACAATTGGTGAAAAAAGGATGAATAAATATAAAATGTTTGAATAGTATTATATATTTTATTATATAATATTTTGGAAAAGTTTTTAACCTAAAATATAGATAGATAGATAAATTTTATTATTGATTTTATATTATTAAATATCATTCATATTTTTGTAAGTAAATAAATTTTTTATAAAAAATAAAAAAATTAAATTTACTTAAATAAATTAAATCCTCTTAAGCAAACTCTTTGGTTTCTCCAAAAATGATCAAATAGTTTGAAACTTTTAGTGTTATACTAAATCTTATTAAATTATATAAATGCCAAACTTTTTAGTTATATTTTAATCTTAAACATTATCCATCAATCATATTTCTATCCTTTTTTTATTTATCATGATTAATTAATTAGATACCATGATTTAAATAAAACTTCAGGTAGAAATCAATTTTACTTTTTATTTTAACTTTAGTGGTTTTAATGTTTTTTTTTTTTTTTCTAAAATTTTTAATTTATCTTATAATCATTTTTTTCATTTTACATTTTTTTAAATCATAAAATAATTGTTTTTTTTAAATTATCATTTATTCATTCATACAATACAAATTTGATTTTTTTATTTAAGAATATTTAGAGTAAATTAATGAATTTAAAAGTTGTTAATGCTGAATTTGGCTTTTTATAAGCTTATTTCATATCAAGAATTTATGTAATTTTTTTAAATCTGATATTATAAATTTTAAAATGCTTATCTTGTTTATTTTTTATTATAAAATGTTCTCTAAATATTATAGAAAAATGCAAATCGGAGATTTGCAGGTTTTGCTTTATCTATGGGTACTTTGAAATAAATATGTATGTATTAGCAAAAAAATGCAAGATGTGAAAATGGATGCTGAAAATGATCTTTGTTTTTGGAGTCAATCATTAATTTTTTTTTTTTTTGATATTTTAAATTTACTTTAGTCGCTTTATAAAAAAATTTAGTTTATTGATTGTTTATTTTATTTAACAAATATAAAGACATATATTGCTTTATTTAACCTATATATATATTTATTTAACAGATATAATAGATAGGCAGAATTATCGCCGGTCCTACAATAATAAATACCAAAACACCCAAAATTTAAACATTAATTAAAAAAGTTTAAAAGCTCTTCACTTTTATCTCATTAGGTTCTCCACATTAATTTGAGGTATATTTAATTAAAAAAATTACTTTTATTATTATTAATATTTTTTATTTATTTAAATAAATAATTTTTATGAAAGAAATTATTAAATTGGTGATACATACATACATACATACTCGCACATGGTGACATGCACTCGGGATAGGGGCCCTATATATAATTACTTATACATTATTATTATACGTATACCAATTTATTTATATATAATTGTGGGTAATATACTAGAAGGGAAGGGTCACCTACACCCTAATGGCATTTCTACTAATCTTCCATGATTTGACTACGCATTATGCTCGCTTCCCATTTGTATTCCAGATCTTCTGTTCAGAATGGGGCCTCCTCTTTACCACCTATCAGATTTGGCCCTTCCCTCCTACCAAGGAGACCGCTGGTAACATTCACATTTTTACATGGAATTTTTCGAAATAAAGGGGGCGGTATAGGATTCGAACCCCCGATATCACTGCTAAGACCCTCCGACTCGCCCACTCGAGCCGCTTAGCCCTTCTAAATTGGTGATGAAGGTGCATCAGGCTTAGGTTCTGCTTTAGCAAATTGCATTAATCTCTCAAATTTGGCACTTGACCTTTTGTATAAACATTTTATTTGTTTTGGATTGTGATATTTTAATTATAAAAACTAATTAAAAATAATAAAGCTCTTTTTTCTTTTTCTTTTTATTGTGCTTGCTTTTTGTTGTTGTTTCTTTGTTAATTTAGCTCATCATTTTATTTTCAACTTTTCCTTTTATTATTTATTTCTTATTATTTCATATTTTTTCTTCATTTTTTCCTTCTAATTAACTATTTAATGATATATTTTTTCTTCAATATTTAAAAAGTAACAATTAAATTGGTGATAGAATAGAATAGAAATACTCGCACATATAAATGCACTCAGAATACAACTTAAAATTAATTTTTTAATATGTTTATATATATTTTTATTTATTTGATAATTATTAATGAAAACCATTTAGAAAAATTTATATCTAATTTGTGATTATTTTACATATATACCTATTTTCCTCTTTAATAAAAAACCTAAAATTTTGATAAAAATAAAACGTAAAATCGTTAAGTAAAAACAGTTTATTTGTTTTGGATTGTGATATTTTTAATTATAAAAACTAATTAAAAACAATAAAGCTCTTTTTTCTTTTTCTTTTTATTGTGCTTGCTTTTTTTTGTTGTTTCTTTGTTAATTTAGCTCATCATTTTATTTTCAACTTTTCCTTTTATTATTTATTTCTTATTATTTCATATTTTTTCTTCATTTTTTCCTTCTAATTAACTATTTAATGATATATTTTTTCTTCAATATTTAAAAAGTCGCAATTAAATTGGTCATGAAGGTGCATCAGGCTTAGGCTCTGCTTTAGCAAATTGCATTAATCTCTAAAATTTGACACTTGACCTTTGGTAAAAACAGTTTATTTTTTTTTGGATTGTGATATTTTTAATTATAAAAACTAATAAAAAACAATAAAGCTCTTTTTTCTATTTTCTTTTTATTGTGCTTGCTTTTTTTTGTTCTTTCTTTGTTAATTTAGCTCATCATTTTATTTTCAACTTTTGCTTTTATTATTTATTTCTTATTATTTCATATTATTTCTTCATTTTTTCCTTCTAATTAACTATTTAATAATATATTTTTTCTTCAATATTTAAAAAGTTACAATTAAATTGGTGATGAAGGTGCATCAGGCTTAGGTTCTGCATTAGCAAATTGCATTAATCTCTAAAATTTGACACTTGAGCTTAGGTAAAAACAGTTTATTTGTTTTGGATTGTGATATTTTTAATTATAAAAACTAATAAAAAACAATAAAGCTCTTTTTTCTATTTTTTTTTATTGTGCTTGTTTTTTTTGTTGTTTCTTTGTTAATTTAGCTCATCATTTTATTTTCAACTTTTGCTTTTATTATTTATTTCTTATTATTTCATATTATTTCTTCATTTTTTCCTTCTAATTAACTATTTAATGATATATTTTTTCTTCAATATTTAAAAAGTCACAATTAAATTGGTGATGAAGGTGCATCAGGCTTAGGTTCTGCTTTAGCAAATTGCATTAATCTCTCAAATTTGACACTTGTCCTTTGGTAAAAACAGTTTATTTGTTTTGGATTGTGATATTTTTAATTATAAAAACTAATAAAAAACAATAAAGCTCTTTTTTCTATTTCTTTTTATTGTGCTTGCTTTTTTTTGTTCTTTCTTTGTTAAATTAGCTCTATCATTTTATTTTCAACTTTTCCTTTTATTATTTATTTCTTATTATTT